TTGCATTTATTTAACACTGAAAATACAAAAATAAATGATATACCCAAGATCACCTAGTAGTAACTTAGCAGTACCACATTTCAATACACACAGCACTAAAATACAGTATGCACCAGCACCATGGAACAAGGAGTTTTTCAACAGATGGTATGGCCCCCACAGAAATCTGATCTCCACATCATCCATCCAGTCAATCTGGGATTACATGAAATAACAGAAGCAATTAAGTGAGCCTAAACTCACAGAAGCACTGGGGCAAGTTCTCCAAGATGTTTTGGAACAGAGTACCTGCCAAGTGCTTAAAATAAACAGAAAGTAAACTGTTACTACAAATAAACCTTAAAAGGCATGGGTGGTTACATCATATATTATCATTGGATTTACGACTCTTGCGACTAAAGTCAACTCAAATCACTCCAATTTTACTGCTTATTTATTGCATTCGTGCAGTGTGGTGTACATGTTATGTTGACATTTTCTAGAGATTTCTAGTCTTCAGATACTAAGTTAAGAAAAACTTAGCTAGATCCATTCATTCAGGTCACCGCTTTATCATTGCTAGCTGTTGAAAATCTGTAACTTCTGCCAATTTCACTCGGTTGCTAATGGATTCAGGCCAGTGGCCCTCCAGTCTCTGGTCCATTGTTTTAACCTTTGGACCGAATCTCCCTCCTCAAAGTTTCACAGACTACTACATTTGCGTCTCACCTGCAATTGTATTTCTGTCCTACTGGCTATACTACATCTGATAAGATGCAGTATAACTGTCTACCATCCATTTCATATGGTCCCCATCCAGGACAATATGATATAATTCACTGCCAATTGAGTGATTCTTTATTCACACCACAATAAGTGGTAATAAGATTGGCTGGCTATGCCACTGCATCCAATAAGTTATAATACAATTGGCTGTCAGGATTATGTATTCACACTTAAATAAGTTGTGATATAATTGGAGTGCTGGTGGTTCTATATCAAATAAAATGTAATATGATTGGCTGGCAGTAGCTGCGGATTCAATAAGATCTAATCTGATTGGCTCATATGGATTCTATATATCCCATAAGGTAAAATATGACAGTTTTCCAGGGACTTTGAGGCACTTTGTTTTCCAAGTGCATTTTACATGGACTCTGTCCCAGAGAGCCTGGCACGCCACAGCTCCAGACAAAAGGCGAGTCAGTGAGCTTTCCAGCAGGTATTTCCCAGTCTAGCTCTGTTTTGCGCCAGCAGAAGCAGTAGTTTAGGAGGATTAGCCCACATCCATCTGCAAGTAAGCCAGAATATCTTTCCATGTTTTCTCTGCAAGACAGCCAAGTTCTGTATCTCCTCTGTTTTCTGTGCGGGAAGGTTCCAGGACGGATTTTGTATTGTTTTGCAAAGGTTTTCTCATAAAACAACTGAGTAAAATGCATAAACACATGAAAGGCAGTGTAAAACCATGAACCATTATAGCTGCTGCTTCTATAATGAGGTAGTGTAATGCAGTTTATTGTACAGTCGCCTTTTACAGCGCCTTGCATAAAGTCTGTGTGCTGTTTTAATGTTGCAGATCAGGGGCCAGCATTTGAAGCCTACACTGTGTCGCCACTCCAGTCCAGTTTCAAGAAACTCTTTGAAACAGGACTGCTAAGCACAACTAAAACTCACACTTTGCGCAAAAGAAAAGCACTCAAGATATGCTGTAGCTTAAAAGGATCAACGAGTGATGGGCAAATTTACCAGACAGACGTTTTAATTAGTAAATGTAATGTTTCAGTTCAAAGTCTGTCATCTTAGCTCATTCCCTTTTCCTGCTCCCATTATGACAGCAGTGCTAAATGTATGAGATCTTTATTGCACAAGCACTGATGTAGGCCATATTTTTATGGCACTACAAAACAATCAAGGGAACTGTTGTTATTCACATTCAGGCATGAAGCCTCCTCAGTGCCGTTAACTGAAAGAGAAAGACAGCAGCATCTGATTCCTTTGTAAGCGGAGTGCAAATGGGAGGACATGTGGGTGGATGAATAACACCAGCTGTCTACGATTACAAACAGGATGTGTCCCCTGTTAGAAGCAACTAAACTTCCACTCACTTTCAGAAATCAAGACGCTGAGGTAACGCAAGCATTCCTTCAGGTTTCACATTCTTGGCTCTAAGTGGTTGCGCAGGTGGTGCAAAGCAAACCTTTTTTGGGGGATATCTTGGCAAAATAACACGATTAAAGGTGTGTTTTATTAGCGGTTTTCTGCTTCTGCTTTTTGTCCACCCATGAATGTGCAGACAAATACAACTAACTTACTTTGATATGAGGAAAAGTAAAGAATGTGATGATTCTCACAGAAGCTGTGGATTTACACAAATTCTGCTGATTTCAAGGCTGATTAAACGTTGAGCTGCAGTGGACACTGACGTTATGAAGTGCTGTGAAGAGAGTTAAAGTCACGCTGATCTAAAAACTATGGTAATCACACATGCATATGCATAGGCCATATTTGATTGTCAGAACAAGGGCCATGTTTTAACATGCACCGTGACAATAGGGTTAGTACCTTAACTATGTCAATGAGGCATGTGTCATCATCGCTACTGCAGCTCGTACCACTGATCTAAGTCTGTCCTCTGAATCTGAATCTCTCCCTCCATTTCCCTGTAAAATCTCATGCTAACCAAAGACAGTTTTTTGTTTTTTTAATTTTCCTTTTCCATTCATCTGATCCAAACACAAAGTGGGATGCAGCGCTGACATCTTTATCTATCTTCATTCAGTGCACTGTAGAGGCTCACGATGTGATCTGAATGTAACACGTACAAGTTATAATTAAAGTCAAAGACAGTGATTATTATGCAGCCCTATCAGCCACTTTTACTTACATAAGTAAATAACAGTCTGATTTCTGAAATACAAGGTTTCTGATATTATGTTAATCATTGTCTTCGAATAATCACAATAAGGACTCAATAAATAACTAAATGTATTATTTTGCCAAACACAACATTGAACAATTAAACTGCTTTTTGCATTTTCAATGGTGTTAAGAGTTTGATAGCAGAAGATGCTGATGTTGTGTTCATGCACAGAATCAGAGTCTGTTGATAAGTTATCAGGGCAGAGCATCTTTTGAACTTGTTTCATGCTGAAATACTAATCGTCCAGACAAAGTTGAGTAAGCAAGCCAACAAAAGCACCAAGCAACAAAAGCAACAGCTGAACATCTCATGTCCACACACAGCCCCATAACAAACACAAACAGCTGTACAGAGCAGACCCTTTGCAGGATTTCTCTGCTGTATCTGCTCTCAGCATCTGCGTCACCATCACAAAGTTCCTTTTGCAGGGACTCTGTAACACTTTGTAATTTTTCTTGCTCACAAGCAAAGTTCTAAACCAGTTGGACTGGATTCTAAACCAGTTAAGATGTTTCACAAGGGACATGCAGACTTTCTGCTTCAATTTGAGTCACTGATAAGGAGAATTGCATGAAGTGCTTAGAGTAGTGAAATTAAATAAATTTTTTATACAAAGGCTGCCATTTTCAGAGACTCAAAAGTAATTGGATAAACTAAGGTGATTCAAAAGATAATAATATTTTCAACAGAAACCTTTTAGTGCTTTACCATCAGTTTGAAAGCATGTGGTTTTTGCTATCTCTCTGATCGAGGTTTTGCAGCTTACACTTACATCTCTTAAGACCTAATGTTGTAGATTCCAGTGAAAAAATACCAAATACAAGTTCAAAGCTTGAAATAAACTCCAGATCTTTTCTCTGTTCAGTACCTACCTGGCCATGAACCTGCTTATCAGTTCAGTTACTCTGAATACCTGAGTATCAGGGAAAAATATATAAAAATTGCTTTAATTCCTATACAATGGTTGAATGCCTTGAATTAAAGCTGAAAGTGTGCAATGTCATTTTCATTGTTTGATTTAATAGCCAGTGTGACGGTGTAGACACAGAGGCAAAATTACATAAAGCTGTATCATTGTTAAACTACTTAAAAATATAGCAAATGTACAAGAAAAAATTGAGTATAAAAGTGAACAAAAAACTGACTTATTATGAACTAAACTGTGATTTTCAACAAGAAATAAAAAAAAAAGAACTATACTCTCAGCATATGTCTCTAAATGCCCCGAGGTAGGAACAGTGATCTTGGCAGAGAATATCAACCCCGCCACAGTCCCATATCGCGCACAGCTTTGGCACATATGCCTCCATATTAGAAAGTTTACACAAGAAGAGACTGAAACTGGCTAATTACAGCTTAACAATCATGTAATAATAACATTACACATGTTTTAAGTAATGAACTTGGCATTAACAGTCAAAAATCAAAGTAATCTTGTCCATTTCTTGAGAAAAGTCCAGATCATCAGAAGTATGATTATAAAAATCAACTACTTGTTTTCTCAATTTACATAACAAAATAACAACATATCAGCAATGCTTCAAACTTACTACAAAACTTTGTTTAAATAAATACAAGCACAACATGAAAAGTACTGCACATACTCAAGTCTCAAACTGAGCCTTAGAATAAACAACTCATTTATTGGATCTTGCAGACTTCGTACTGATCAACTCGCATCAACCACTTCTCAGAAATTAACAGTGTTTGTACACATAAAGGCCATTATCTGTAGAGCCACAGAATCTTTTTTGGCGGTCACTCTTGTTTTTCAGTCCATGTGTAACCAGCATCTACCCCTGAGAATACTCGTCAGCTGCTTTAAATTGCTTCTTCTTAGACTCTGGATCCAGTGGGAACTTGTTTTTTTCAGAAAGCTGTGATAAGCAGATGGCTGGGAAGGCACTTGTCAAGGCTGATGTAGCAGAACATCTTTTGAAAGCTTGTTTTATGCGCAGCTCTCCTTTGCAGAAAAGTGTAAATAGTGCTGACCTTAATGCGCTTTAACCCTTCGTATTTAGCTGTGTCTGAAACGTATAAATGCCTGCAGCTTTTATCAGAGGGAGAAAACGATTTTATGCAATCTTGTGTGGACACTTACAAAGCATGATGAGGGTGGTTGTCCCTTGTTCATTTCCAGTAGGATAGGTGGCGTACTCGCAGGTATAGCGACCGGCATCGGACATTCTCAGGTTAGAAATCCTGATGGATGGGTTCTCCAGACTGTTGTGAAGGAACACAACGCGGTCCTTGAAGGCCACATTAGGGAAACTCTGTCCATACACCGGGTGGTACACAGCAATGTTGTCCCTGTGCCCGTCAGAGGGTTCCCATATCCAGGACACCTGATAAGAATCAAGAATTTATAAACGGCAGCGGTTACAGTTTGCCCGATTATTCTTTTCATTGCTTTTATTTTTATGGTACACAACTATAGCTCATTAAAGAAGATAAATTCGTGCAGCAGACTAACTTTTGACTCACATCATCCTAACAAGGTTCTTAAGCAGTCAGCAGCTCTTTCAATCATCTAATGAGGAGGTCTTTAAATACTGACACTGGAGGGCTGTAACCAGGAGATTAATAATGTTGCCACGGATTAACGTATGCCGTAGTGTTCAACATGAGCAGTAAATTGTCCCCATTATAGTTAGCCAAATTGAATACTAGAAGTTCCTTTTGTTCCTACAGTAACTGATTACTTTGAAGCTGGGATACCAGTAATCATTTTTAAAGAATCGTCTTTTGTGTTATTTTAATAGAATTTATTGCACTTAATTAGATTCACACTGAATCTAAAATTATGTTCATCGGGTCTTTGGCAGACTAACAAAAGTCTATTATAAACTGTAGCATTTTGGGTTTTAAGAGTTTTAAAACAGCCTCACTGAGCTGTGTTTGCAGCCACAGGTCCAACTGTTGACCATGTCGGTAAGTAGTGAAAAAAATCAGCAGTTCAGACAACAATTACCAACTTCCTATTGTTCGGCGTCTTCCCTTAATACACTGACAGTTTGTTTGTAAACCAGAAAGCATGCATGAATATTTATGGATGCCAACATTTTTGACATTTCTCTGAATACATATTGCAAACTGCTGTCCCTGTAACATGAAATCATTTGACTTATAGCAGCAAAATGTTGAGTACAATTAAAGTTGTCTGAGTGAGAAGCCGAGAATCTGCTGCAAGATTAAATTAAATGTCTGTTAGACTTGCAGGCGCTCGCTCAAAGACCCCGCTGCTTTTTTTTAACAAACACAATTTTTTTAAAAAAAGGATCATCTTAGAGATTTCTAATATGCGAAAGATATCGATATCTGGCCTGTGAGAGACACTTCCACGAGGGAGAACGCTGTGATGGTAAACCAAATTGATTTTATTTTTCTCTGCAATTTTCAAAGTGACAGCCAATAACAAACTGCTCGCTAAAGTGGTACACCAGGGAGCAGAGGGAATAAAGTTCATCAATACACATTTAGCAAACATCTATTAAATGTATGACATGTAGGATGGAAGGAAGAGAGCAAGCAGAGGAGGTTGAAGGTTGTGAAAAGGATGATGGATTGTAACCCAGATGTCATTGCAAATTAGAGGATGATTCTCTGCTGATTGAAGAGAAAATATCACAGAGGGCAATTTAGCCCGTCTGCATTTTTAGATTTTACTTGTGAACAAATTACCTATTGATTTCATACACAACTCAGACAGATCACACAGAATCAAATTGAACTCGTAAACAGCTCGTAGCACTTTGCTTATTCTGCTCGGCGTTGAAAATGACATCTGAACCGTTCAGGTGGCGTCAGATACGAGCTCAACTGGGACTTGATGAGATAAATTGACATCCAAATAGTCAGCTGAGCTAATTTTACGCCGTGTGTCCTCGAGCAGTTCTCTTCTGTAGACCAAGTTGGAATTAAACGAGCTAAAATTACGACAGAAAAAAAGCAAAGAGCTAACACCGCCCAGTAATCGTAAGTTACTTATCGCTGATTAGTTAAAGTCCCACATCACGCTTCTGATTGCTGCTGACAAACTGCAGGAGTTTGTTGCAGGGAAGTAACTGCATAATAGAAAGAGACAGCATTGTTCGGGCTGAGATTGCTGGTAATTTATTTACAATCTCATGCTGAGTAGACACAGTGGTCGAGGATGTGTTCAAAGATAGACTGCTAGCAGGGAAAACAGACACTGTTAACTTTCCATCAGCTCCAAAGTATCAGTTTTAACATGTTGAATCTTTTTCAGCTCACATGTATATCAGTAACCTTGCCTGTTTTCTGTGGAGTGGCAAACTGGCGATGAACATATGACGGCTTAGTGTTTGTTGGAACTTGAATAGCTGCTTCCATCTTTCTGAGATGGATGCAAACTGCCAAAATATCATTTAAAAATGTACATTTCTAGTTTAAATGTGAATTCTAATTGGAAAAAAACTTACATATGTGGTGAATTAATTGTTTCTACATGAGGATCATTTCATTTTTGAAAGGCTGAAAGTAACGGTGCTCTTTGTTGCCAACTGCATCCAATAATAAAACCTCTAAAAGCCTAATCAGCAGACCAACTCCACACAGAGTTGGGCTTATGTGTGCATCTATGTATGCATTTGTTTTTATCAGTAACAGTGTCTATAAATGTTGTTACATTTAAGTGAAATCTAACCCACACAGCTCATTTGCAGACCTTGTCCCAAGTTTGGTTTAAACTAACGGCACAAAACAAACAGTAAAGTAGAACCAGGAATAGAAACAACGAAAAGAATATAGATTTAAAAAAAACCTGTTTGTGTCTGTGTGCGTCAGATCAGGAACTAGGTAACAATAGAATTTCTCTCTTAAGCTCCAACCTTTCATTCTCGACACAACAACAACTATTTTTGTGTTTACAAATAAGAGCAACGCAGTGAGTGTCTTTAACAAGAGAGTTTCTAAAAATGTGCACCGTTTTCTTATTTCAAGTACAGAAAATCCCAGTCTGTGCTCTGCAATGCTATGCCAAACATTTTTGTAAGATTAATTTTTGGGGAATTTTGTGCCTTTGTTGAAGGGATAGTGTGTCAGACAAGATGATGGGGAGAAAATGAGGCGGGGATGACATCTAGAAAGCATTATGCCTTTAATAAATGGGCCAATCAGCCATCGATGAGGTCTGAATTGACTGCCTAGTGCATGGACGCTGTGAGGTCTTTCCCCTTTCTGGCAACCATAATCTCACAGGCCTTCATGTGGGAGCCAAACATCAGCTCCCTCATCAAGAAAGCACAGCAGAGGAAGTACTTCCTGCAGCAGAAACTCAACCAGCTGAGTTCATTGATGGTGTACTTCTGCTCCTCCATCACCATCTGGTACGCTGCTGCCACTGCCAAGGACAAAGGCTGACTGCAGCGTGTCATCAGTTTTGGTGAGAAGGTGATTGGCTGCAATCTGCCTTCTCTACAAGACCTGTATGCCTGCAGGACACCGAGGCGAGCAAGAAAGATTGTTGCTGACCCCTCCCACCCCACATGTAAACTTTTGGAGTCACTCCCCTCTGGCAGGAGGCTGAGGTCCATTATTGTGGTCCATGAGGAATATAAACCTCATAGCACAAGAATGGTTTCTTCATATCTGCAGCTGGAAAACTTGACAAAGCTTTGATCCCCTCTTCTCTGTCGCGTTGATGATTTTTATTTGTTCAATTAGCAAACCATTACTCAGGCTGCTGAAAATGTACATATTCGACTACTGCGGACTTTTACATTATATATTCTGATTCTGTGTCAACAAAGCTTCAAGCAGCTAAAACAAGATGTTTCACATGTTTAGCTTTCAGCGGTTTGTGCAGGTCTTTGTTACAACACTGATTACAGTTTGTTTGCAAGTACCACAACAGAACAACAGCAGCGTTAGTGGATGTATAAGTAGCAGGCTCACTGTACATCTTCATTCCTGCACTTGTTTTTATTTCTCCATGTCTGCCAAGCATAAAATCATATAGAGATGGATGGAAGCCTTATCAATTTATTCATGCTTTACAACATGCACGCAGCAATAAATAATAAGACATCTTAGGATGTACAGTGGGATCCAAAACATTCTTCTATTTTGCATTAGTTCCCAATTTATCTCAAGAATATTCATGCCAAATGATAAAACCAGCTTTGAGTGAATCTCTACAAAATTTACATAAATTTTAGATTATATCTGTATTTGCTTTGCCCCCCTTTTGACAGCAGTTCTCGAGCCGCATCGGCTCCACAGTTTTATGCAAAATCTGATAACCCACATTATCTCAGCATGATCTGACGTTCGTTCGAATGGTTCTCATGGTGTCAGGAATGTTTGGCTCTCTCAGTCTTCAAATGAGATTAAAAGGATTCAGTGGAGCTGAGGACTCCTTGGTCTTTGGTCTTAAGTGCTTGCGAACCTTTGATGTGTGTTTGGGTCATTATTCTGCTGCAGTGTGAATCCATTTCCAAGATGTGAGGATGGAGTATCGAGAAGTGCTACTTCTTCTCGGTAAGAGAGCTTTGTATCCGGAGCAAGTGACCGATCACAGCACTTCACAGCAAATCACCAGTAACACCAGGTGGGAGCTTGGTCTCTGCATCCAAGCGATCCAGCTGCTTGACAGCACGGATATCATTAATCAACATGAAACCTAACTTTTAAATCACAGCGTGTCGCATTTAGGGACATTTTGTGTGTCAGGGCATTTCCAGCTTTTCACATCTCGTTTCATGTCACGCTGTCAACATCACAAAAATGTTCGGTTCCCTTACCGCCACTGATTCTCTAAATGATACCAAAATTATACCGTGGCAGAGTTTTACACAGTAAGGCACTGGTTTTCAGTCACAAGGTAGCAGTAGTGGGATTCCCAACCCAGATCCACCTGTATAATGTCGTTTCAACCCTTTATTCCCACCACCTTGTTGCACTCACACTGCACTATCGCTCTTTTTTCCTCTTCGCCTCCTCACAACCCTCTCTTTTTGCCATAAATCTAAGACTTGGATATGTCAGTACAAATGTTTTTCCTTCTCATCATCCTCTTTGAAATGCTGTTATGGCTTTGGCCTTGTTTCCTCTCCTGAGATGTGGTTTAGATATTGCCTCTCATCCTCTGAGACCACTGCTAGACAGCCTTAAGCTCAAGAAGCCCCTTCCTCTTTAAAAGGTTGTTTAGAATAACAATTTGACATCAGATGCCATGCGACAATTACCCTTACTTATGTTCTCTTAGAAACTATTTCCTCCTTTTATCGTCTCTCTTGTTTTGCCACCGGAGTCTTCCTACCGGAGACAGTTTAGATAACCTTTGTATCTATTTATGTTTAAACTGTTCAATTTCTTGGAAACTTTTACCATGAGTTTCCTTATTGGCATGTCTTTATGTTACCGGTCGAATGAACAGATCATGGAGGAGAGACTGGCCATTTGACCCCTAAATAAGCGTGTCCATTAGGCTACAGTGCACGCCTTACTGTTAAGCTCTGAATCTCAGCACTTCTGGAATTATTAACAATGTTGTCTTTCATCTGCTAACCTGTGTGAGCTTGGTCAGACCGCCTCCATCGTTAAATTGGCAGCTGAGCTCAACAGACTCTGTGGGATACGCCTCCAGCTCCTCCGCAACTTGCACTTTTGGAGCCCCAATTTCTGAAAGCAGAAGAAAGAGAAAGGAGAAGAGAGATTATGCAATCATTCATATCATCATATTTCTTTGTAATAAAATTAAAAGAGGAAGTTGAACAAACAGGGACTAAAAGAGGTAAGAATCTGAGAGGAAAGCATTTTCAGTGGGCTTTTAATTAAATGCACTTGCTGTGACTGATATTTTCCCCTCCCACGTTTTGTTTGCCATGATTGTGAAGGATCAACCTCCTTCATTCATTATAGATAATTTAGAGAACTATACTCAAAACAGAGCGAGAAAGAGGATTAAACGAACAGGAGACCATGAGAGAAAAGAGACAAGCTCCTTAAAGAGAAAGAAAGAAAAATTCAGAATCATTAGTCTTTGGTAAAAAAGCCTCAGGCAGAGGCTTCCTTCACCTGGGTCCTCCTCATTACAGTAAAGCTTGTCTACCAGGAGACATCGCTAGGGGGCGAGACTCTAGGAACACGGTTGGTTACTTTGCCTTTCATCTGTTTGCAATTCAAAGGAAGGCACCTGTAACTTTTCCTTTCAAGCTGAAGTGAAAAGTGTTGAGGGAGCAGAGAAGGTCAACAAGGCCAGCACAGGTTTAATGAAAACAAGCCGGGAGAGCCGCCCTCTGCGATCAAACTTAAACAGAGATCAAACACATATGCTAACAGCCAAGCAATGCCTCAACACTGTGTGCCACCTGTTGACCCGCAGGCTGTGTCAGAACACAGAGTTTAAACTGGACAAGAGGAATTAGTTCTTTAACATTCATCCGTCATTCTGTAATTGACTGACTCAGCTCTATGCAGCTGCCAGACCTCCTTTCAAACCTATACTTTATCCCTTTTTATCAATTTGTAACAAAATGTCACTGTGCTGCTGTGATACGCTATTTTCTTGCCAACAAGAATTGGTGTTCCTACCCATGTATCAGGTTTCTTTGTTCAAATACTCTCCACAGGAGAGCCGGACGTCCACTGAATTTCAGATTGATCTGCCAAACAGAACTGATGTTGCAGAAAATGCATTTCAGGCTTGCAACAGAAGTGCAGGAAACCCTGAGCTAGACACATTCTGCAAAACAGCAGGTTTAAAAAAGTGCTCCTCAGAACATTGCTTTAAACTGCATGTAGGCTCTTTGTTGTGTTGTTTTCCCCCTAGTGAGAAAATATTCACTTGCTGTATAAATTTCTTAAAATTGAAGGACTTTAATGAACTTGTAATTCTTGTAGCCAACAGAGGGAGAAAGACAGAAAATGGCTCAACCAGAATAAGAAAGAAAAATGAAAAGACAAAGGATCAGAGAACTTGTAATCCTTTCTTAACACAATCTGGGCCAAATCCAGCAGCTCAAAGTGTTTGGCAACATCCATAAACAATCATATGAGACTGGGAGTGACATTTTAAGCGTGTCCAAATGTTCATGCTTTGCAGTCAAAATGTTGTTTTTCACAGTGAGCCATCAAACACTCATTTGGAGTAACTTAATGAAGCTTTTCTCTTTCTTTTTCTTTTTTTTACTTGACCTGCTGCTTTCACTCATTCAAGCTCCAGATCCCCTGCTGACCCGGGATCAAATCCTACCAAGGCCTTTCTTGTCTACCTCCCCTTAGTCTCTGCCCTCTCAGCCAGCTTCTGTGCCTGTAAAGATAAAATTCTTGTGGGGAGCCGGCCTCTTACTCTCACCACAAGAAAAAGGGGATAAGCACTCACTAACCGCTAGCTATAACCGCTAGCTAGCCTCGGGTGTGTTTGGAAAAAGCCTCTTAGTGTGTGAGGGATTGATTAGGACAATATGTTACATTCTGCACCACGGAGGTGAATGGGCTGGCCGGGATTTAGCCCGAAAATCAGCTGTAAAACGCAGTCACACTAACAAAAGAAGTGTGAAGGTTGTGTGCTGCAGGGGGTCTTGGGTTGTTTTGGATTTACAGCATGCGCGCATCCGCATGTCCAACCATGTGTGCGGGAGTGGATTTTGTGTGTGAAGTCATATGCATGCTTTACAGCGCAGGACTGATGTGTGCATGTGTGATCGCTGTACGTCAGAGTGTGCGCATAAATCACAGCATCTCACTGTAATGTGAGTGCAGATAAGACTGACTGAGTCACTCAAGCACACTTTTTACCCCAAGGGAGACAACGGGCTGTCAAACCATTTATCCATTCCTACTGTGGGTCCAACACACTCACACACTCAGACACACACACACATATAGACATGCAAATAAAATAAATTAAGTTTTTACACAACCCGACAACAACAAAAACAGCAGAGTTTGAATCTGTTTTCCCCATTTGCTTCTCTTTCGCTGACATTTTTGTTCACATTTGCTTTTTTCTTTTCTCATAAACAAAAACGCGGATTAATTTCACCTAATTAAACACATCAACACACAACTCCCACTATTCATAAAGAAACCGAAATGCAGAAATACACAGACACACCAGATGGTCTCACCAAAGCCATGAACCACATAAATGTTTGGGTTATTCATAGTGGTCAATGAAATCTCTTCTGTGACGCACGGGGAAAAATATAATAAACAGAAACAGGGAGAAAAGAGAGGAAGAGGGGATGATGGTGAAGGAAAATGAGGTGTATTGAGGTTAAAAGAGCTAAACAGTGAAAGAAAACGATGTCAGGAAGAATATGAAAGGAGCTTTGAGAAGGATGGTAGAAACATTTATTTAGAGGAATAAATATTACGGAATAAACGAGGAAAAGCGACTAAAGGAATGTCTGAAGCTGAGAGAGGTGGAGGAGTAGACTGGAGGAGGAGGGGAAGTTTTAAAAATGGTCAAAAAGCGACACGAGGAGAAAAAGCTAAATCCTTGAAAAGTAAAATAAGGGAGCAGAGAGCATGAGATGACACCACAGATGATTCATTTCCTCATAGTCAGATGGTGACCGAACCTACTGGCTCCCTGAGATGAGACGAGTGAGAGGGTGAGAAAGTTTTCATTCTGACCGTACATACACACCAGCGTGATCTCAGCTGCAGCAAAGTTGCAGCTTGTTTTGAGGTTAACCATCCAAGCTGATACTTGTTTGCTGCAGTGTATAGGCTACGTTTTAAACACTGACATTTAGTTTGTCAGAGTATGCAAATATAATACATCGTGTGGAAAAATATCATTTAAGCTACAGAAGACTTGCATGAAAAAAAAAAAAGAAAGCTCACAAAAGTTGTTGTCAAACATGAAATCAGTCTCAAAAGATTAAAAAAGTGGGTATATTATGTTAAGAAAACACTAAATACTGGTTCTATCAGCTTGATTATGGTATCTCTGGAAATGTAGTGATAGCAAAAGAAACCGAGACGTGACTATCAAACACTAGGTGAGAGTGAAAGGTAAAAAATAGTTCCACAGCAGCTTCCTGGTTCATGGTAAGTAGTAAGGCAGACAACACTGTGATATGTACTGAGAGTGCAGAGAGGTGGAGGTGTGCTCTGGAGTGAAGAGGAATGAAAGTCAGCAGAAGCAAGACAGAATAGGGGAGATGGGTAACAGCGAGGCTGCAAGGAGCAGAGGTAGTGACGATAGATGAGTTTAAAGACCTGTGGTCAACCATAATAAGCAACGGACGGCACACAGGAGAGGATGGCAGAGGCAGGGGGGTAGTGGGTGGACATTAGTGTCAGGGGTGGGACAGCAGCAAGGATAACATAAAGAGAGGAAGGGAAGGTTTCCAAAATGAGGCCTGCTATGATATGTGGCTTGGAAACACTGGCACTAAAAAAAGAGAGGAGGTGGAGCTGGAGGTGGCCCAGTTGAAGATGTTAAGCTATTTGTGAGTCTGTTTGTTTGAGCACGTTTGCATGAGCGGCTTGGAGACAAAGTTAGAGAGGCGAGGCTGAGATGGCTTGGACATGTGCAGAGAAGTGTCTAACAAGTCTCAGCGGATACACTGGACAAAGAATGTTGAATATGCAGCTGAAAGACAAGAGGAGAAGGGTATAGACCTCAGAGGTTTATGGAAACAGTGAAGGAATACATGCAGAAAGCTGGGGTGATAAAGGCGGAGGCGGATGATCTAATGTTTTGACTCCTAAAGGAAGAAACCCAAATGAAAAAGAAGAAGAAAAAGTAATAAAAAGGTGTAATTGCATACTTGGATATTGGGTGAAGCTTTAGGCTTTAACTCCCCAAAAAAGAAGAAAAAAAGTCAAAATTCTACTTGAGTTGTTTTCTGTTATTTGCTTTTAGTAGTTCTGGTGCATAGAGACATTGCAATCAGTAACTGCCTTTATTGAATAGTTGTAATTAACATGTTGAATGCAAGTACTGCAGATGGGAAATGTGGGGAATGAGAGCAGGGGAGTGCCATGCAGCAAATGTCAGGCCCATCGGGACATGAAGTAGGTTCTCAGCTGCCGAGGGCGCTTTGGGCCATGCCACACTCACCCCAACTTCTAGGCCACTGCATCTCCGACAGTCTTTAAATCTTTAAAGATGCAGATGGGTGAGGTTCAAAAGACCTCAGCTAATAGCCAAGAAAGAGAAGTTTTGATTTAAAAAAAAAAATCAAATAGAATTTTTATTAAATAAAAGCAATCTGAAAAGATCAGGAGCCTGCTCTTCTATCGCCTAAAACTGGGGAAAGCTCTCAATGAACAGTCCAAGTATGTATATATTTTATTTTTCTTCAGCTTTATTGAAACACAAACTTTAAAGGTTGCTAAAGTTACTTACAGAAAACGCTCAGCCCTGTGAAATCAAGTGTCATCATTGCTTATGCCTAATTGTATTGTTTTCTGGAAGCATAACGTACAAATGTTTGTCCCGCTATCAAGGAAATTGGTGTCAGTGCACCACAATAATTCTTATCTTTTTAATCCTCTCCAGCTTGCAACCCCAGTGATCCCACAGTTTGCAGCTTATTCCTACTGGAAGTCACTGTGGATTGGAGCAACAGCTAAACACAAACAGAAAGTCAAAAAGGGAAGGTGTAGGTGAACAGCCACATTCTGCGTCTCTCTCAAAGCACCAGGGAGATGAATCACAG